TTTTTTTTTTTTTAATTTTTTTTTTAACGTTTTTATTTACTTTTGAGACAGAGAGAGCCAGAGCATGAAAGGGGGAGGGTCAGAGAGAGAGGGAGACACAGAATCTGAAACAGGCTCCAGGCTCCAAGCAGTCAGCACAGAGACCGACGCGGGGCATGAACTCACGGACCGCGAGATCGTGACCTGAGCCGAAGTCGGAGGCTCAACCGACTGAGCCACCCAGGCGCCCCATCAGGTCTTGATCTAATGGTTCGTGAGTTTGAGAACCTCTTCAGGCTCTTCACTGACAGTGCTCGCTCTCTCCCCCTCCCCTATTTGTGCATTCTCTCTCTCTCTCTCTCCCTCCAAATAAATAAATTTTTTAAAAAAGAGGGGCTGATTGAAAATTAGACTTTCTTAAGATGAAAATCTGTTTTAAGGCTTTTTTTTTTACAGCTTTTTTGAGCTATAATTGACATATAGCATTGTATAAGTTCAGATGTGTAACGTGATGATTTGAAGCAGTTGTGTATTGTGAAATGCTTACCACAGTAGAGTTAGTCAAAACCTCCATTACTTCATATAATTACTATTTCTTTCTTGTGAGAACACTTAAGATCTACTTTCTTAGCAACTTTGAAATATATAGTATTGTTAACCATAGTCACCATGTTGTACATTAGATCCTTGGAATTGTTCATCTTATCACTGGAAGTTTGTACCCTTTGACCAAGATCTCCCCATTTTCCTTACTCCCCTACCCTTGGTAACTATTCATTCTACTCTTGGTTTCTTTGAGTTTAGCTTTTATAGATTCCACATGTAAGTGATATCCTACAGTATTTGTCTTTTGCTGTCTGACTTTTCACTTAGCATAATGTCCTCAAAGACCATATATGTTGTCACAAATGGAAGGATTTCTTTTGTTCTCATGGATGAATAATATTCCATTAAATATATATATATATATAATATATATATATTATATATTTTTTATCCATTCATCCTTTGATAGAAAAATAGGTTGTTTTCATATCTTGGCTAGTGAATAAAACTGCAATAAATGTGGGAGTGCAGATACCTCTTTGATAACCTGTTTTTCTTTCTTTTGGATATATACCCAGAAGTGGATCATATGGTAGTTAATTTTTAATTTTTTGAGTAATGTTTATATTATTTTCCATAGTAATATACCAATTTACATTCCTACCAACAGTGCAAAAGGGTTCTCTTTCTCCACATCCTGGCCAACATTTTTTGCCTTATCTTTTTGATGATAGCTATTCTAACAAGTGTGAGGTGATATCTCATTGTAGTTTTGATTTACATTTCCCTGATGATCTGTGATGCTGGGCATCTTTTCATGTACCTACTGTTCCTCTGTACATCTTCTTTGGAAAAATGCCTGTTCAGATCCTCTTCCCATTTTTTTTTAGTTGGCATGGTTTTTGTTATCAATTTGTATGAGTTCTTTATATATTTTAGATATTAACCCTTTATCAGATACATGGTTTGCAAATATTTTTTGCCATCTCATAGGTTGCCTTTTCATTTTTGTTGATTGTTTCTTCTGATGTTTAGAAGCATTTTAGTTTTATGTAGGTCCACTTAATTGATTCTTGCTTTTGCTGCTTGTGCTTTTGGTTTCATATCTCCCCCCCCCAAAAAAAAAATTAAAAATTGTTGCCAAGACCAATATCAAGGACATTTTACCCTATGTTTTCTTCTACAGGTTCTATGATTTGTAGCTTTATGTTTCAGTCTTTAGTCCATTTCAAGTTAATTTTTTGTGAGTGGTGTACAATAGGCTTATTTTTCTGCTTATGGCTGTCCAGTTTTCCCAACATCATTTGTTGAAGAGATTATCCTTTCCTCAGAGAGTATTCTTTGCTCCTTTGGAAAATATTAGTTGACTGGATATGTGAGGGTTTTTCTGGGCTCATGAGTCTATCCCATTTGTCTATGTGTCTGTTTTTATGCCAGTACTATAGTATGCTGACTACTATAGATTTGTAACTTATTTTTGAAATCAGGAAGTGTGATGCCTCCAGCTTTGTTCTTTCTTAGGATTGCTTTGGCTATTTAGGGTCTTTGGTGGACCATATGAATTTTAGGATTATTTTTTCTATTTCTGTGAAAAATGTCATTGAAATTTTGAAATGGACTGTATTGAATCTATAGATGGCTTTGTTTAGTATGGACACAGTATTAATTTTTCTAATCATGAACATGGGAATATGTTTTCCATTTGTGTCTTTATCAGTTTCTTTCATCAAAGTCTTACAGTCTTCAGTGTAGAGATCTTTGACCTTTTTGGTTACATTTATTCCTAAGTATTTTATTTTGTGATGCTTTTGTATGCAGGATTGTTTCCTTTACTGTTTTATTTCTTTTTTTTCAAGTTTTAATCTAAATTCTAGTTACTTTTAACATACAATGGGGTATTGGTTTGAAGTGTAGAATTTAGTGATTCAACACTTACAACACCCTATGCTCATAACAACAATTGTCTTCCTTAATCCCCTGTTTATTTCTTTTTCATATGTTATTACTGTGTAGTGACACAACAATTTCTGTATGTTTGCTTTGTATCCTGAAACTTCACTATATTTATTGATTAGTGCTAACAGCTTTGTTTGTATGTTTTTAGTTCTAACAGTTTTTTGATGGAGTCTTGAGGATTTCCTTAGGCCATATCATCTGCAAATAAAGACCATGTTACTTCTTCCTTCCTGATTTACTCCTTCCTTCCTTTTATTTATTTTTCTTGCCTGTATGCCCCACCTAGGACTTCCAATACTATATAGAATAGGAATGGTGAGAGTAGGCACCCTTGTTTTGTTTCTGATCTTACAAGAAAAGCTTCCAACCTCTCATTATCAAGTGTGAGGTTAGCTATGGCTTTGTTATATATGACCTTTATTATGTTGAGATATGCTCTATCTATACCTAATTCGTTGAGGGTTTTTAGCATGAAAGGATGTTGCATTTTGTCAAATACATTGTCTGTACTGTTGGGATAGTAATATGATTTTAAAACTTTCATTCAATGTGGTGTATCATAGTCATTGATTTGTGTATGTTGAACTATCCTTGCATCACTGGAATAAATCCCATTTGATCATGGTGTATGAGTCTTTTAATATGCTGTGGAATTCAGTTTGCTAGTATTTTATTGAGGTTTTTTGCTTTTATGTTCATCAGGGATATTGACCTTTAGTTTTCTTCTCTTGTAATGTCCTTATCTGGGATTGGTATCAGGGTAATTCTAACCACATGAAATGAGTTTTAGAGTGTTCCCTCCTCTTCAGTTTTTGGGAAGAGTTTGACGATTGAAGTTAATTGTTCTTCTCTTTTAAAAGTTTATTTATTTTGAGAGAGACAGAGACAGTGCGAGTATGGGAGGGGCAGAGAGTAAGAGAGAATCCCAAGGAGGCTCTGCACTGCAGTACAGAGCTTGACACGAGGCCAGACCTCATGAAACCATGGCATCATGACCTGAGCCAAATACCAAGTCGGACACTTAACCAACTGAGCCACCCAGGCACTCTTGAAGTTAATTCTTCTTTAAATGTTTAGTAGATTCACCACTGAAGTCATCTGGTCCTGAGCTTTACTTTTGTTGGAATGTTTTTGATTAGTGATTCAATCTCCTTGCTCATATTGGTCTATTCTGATTTTTCTAATTCCTCATGATTTGGTCTTCGTAGTTTGTATGTTTGTAGGAATTAATCTACTTGTTCCAGGTTATCCAATTTCTTGGTGTATAGCTATTCATAGTAGTCTTATAATTCTTTGTATTTCTGTGGCATCAGTTGTAATATCTCCTCTCTCATTTGTGATTTTGAGTTTACTCTAAGGTATACAAATTGACAAAGTATTAATATTTTTAAATTAAAGAAATGTGTTAGCAATAAATTATTGGCTATTCCGGTTCCAAAATTGAATGCAGGAACTCTGATTAAAGCAGTTTTCTAGAACACATTTTCTTGGTGTTTCAGGGAGACTCTGGTGGGCCATTAGTATGTCGACATGATAAAGGTCCCTTTGTCCTGTATGGTATTGTCAGCTGGGGAGCTGGCTGTGCCCAAACAAGGAAACCAGATGTATTTGCCAGGGTGAGTGTCTTCTTGGACTGGATCCAATCCAAAATCAAAGGTAAATATTTTTCAGATATTATGGAAATATTTCCTCTTTCTTTAGAGTGGGTTTGCGAGAAGGATGAGTGTGGTAGAAATCAGTGTGATGAAAGAAAAAAAACCAAAAAGTAGTATTTCATTTATTTTAGTTTCTTAAACATGTAAAATGCACATTAAAATTCTGTGTGAATACATTCTCCTTGGGCAGAGTGATAGTAAAAGTGACTTTTCCTGAGGCAGCTTTAATCCTAGGTTTGCATTTCTCTTTTGACAGAAGCTATTTTACCATAGGTATATTTTGTTTCCAGGCTTTCATATTTATTTCTTTTTAACATGTTCTCTCCAGGTACAGGTCCTGCTTCACTTCAGATAAATAATGAAAGAAAAACCTTAACAAGACAACAGTTGCCACCACCCACACCTTCAATAGACAATGAGTCTGGACCAGGTAATAGATGTTTATCTTAGCCTATTATGCAGCTAGTAAGAATTCCGCAAAAAATATTGCATGTCTGGGTTTACTGATTTTCTTTGGAACAGGATAAGCCCTGTGTTTTCATTCTGGATGGTAGTTTAAGCTGAATGAGAGGCGTGTTGTTACTATGACCGTCTGGGTTTCTTCTCTACCCCACAGATAACAGCTGTTGCAGGTTAAAAAAAAGATCTTGTGGCTGTGAACGAGTGCTTGAATTTTGGAGACATGAAAGGAAGTATTCTGACCTCTGATCTATTTATTTCTACATAAACAAAGGTCCTTAGATTTTCAGGTATCTTGCTAGGTGAAGACTCTGGATATGAGATAACCACAGCCAGCATCAGTGTCAGTCACTCTTAATTTTCCCACAGTTGTCAGTGTCTGTTTGCTAATGGGATTTATATTTTTAGTTAAAATCAAACTGCAGCTGGAGAATTAGGAGTCTGTAATAGAGTTGTAGGGAGATGAAAGTTCTATGATACCATCATCCTTGGTTTCCAGGTGGTCACAGTCTCTTCTTTCTCACCCATCTCTGCCTCCATCCACCCAACATGGAGTCAACCCCAGTAGAGAACTAGGAAGAGGTGGAGAAGACTGAAAAGGATACAAGAGAGGGAGGGATAGCTGGAGTGATGACCTTCAGGAGGAGAAAGGAGATGAGATCTGGTGCTCAGCAGGGGAGGTTGGCCTCAGGAGTAAAGTGTAGTTCACCCATAGTTGCTGAATGGAAGGCAGAATACTCATGCTGGTGTGTGGGTACACGTGGCAGGACAGGAGCTTCTGACAGTTTTCTAATTGCTTCTATGTTCTTAGAAGACAAAACAGGGTTATGGAAGATGGTTTGAGGGGTTTTCAGGGGAAAAAGGGGGAAGTATGAAAATAGTTCTCTAAAAAAGTGACAAAGTACATGGACTAGGAGAATGTAGTAGGATTGCTAGGAAACATAAAAGCTTCTGAGATTAACAATCATGAATTTAGGGGAAACTGGCCAGTTAGCTCAATTGTATGTTTTCTTCCAGAGACACAGAGGGTTAGCACATAGGTGCAGAACAGGTAGAGAGTAGACTCAATTCAGAGCGGATTTTCCCAAGTGTATAAGTGGATATGCAAGTGTATAAGGGAATTGAACGCATGTAGGAGGAAGGGATTAAAATGATATATTGTTGGAATGTATACTAGGAAAAGAGTGAATGAGGGTGAGAGATGAAATAGGGACAAAGAAAAGGTGGTTGGGTAGATGAATTGCAAGTCTCAAAAGATGGAAGGAGTGCTGGAAGTTGCTGAGAAGATAGAAGGTTGTGGATGGAGAAAGCAGTGCTTGAAATCAAAATTAGAGAAGGCTTGGAATTATTGCTGGGGACTGGGTCTCTAGGGGCTGACCACTGGGGTGTATAGCTGAGGTTGGGTGGAGAACAAGATCATTGGAAGAAGTTGAAAAATTGAGAAGCTTCAGTGCTCGACTCATCATCAGTATGGCTAGTGAACTCAGCAAGATATATGGCAGGAATAGCAGTGGAGAAAATGACTGCTAAAATCTTCTAGGAGTAAGGCAGAGTAACCAGCTGTGGGTGGTACAGTCTGACAAGACGAGGATCAGAGTCCTATGTAGATTAAAAGTCATCTGGAATTGGGGTTGACATGGAGAGCAGACTTAGGTCCAAGATCCTAAAACCTAATGATTTCGATGGTTTGAGTTAAATGAACAGTGTTAATCAGTGCCTAAGTGAACACATGTCAAGCACTTAGAACAGAGATGGCATGACGAATTTTAACAGTCAACAAATGGTGGCCATAGTGACCAACCAATGTATTTGTTGAACTGTTCCACATAGGCTATTAGAAAGTGAACATTGTTGGGGCGGTTGGCCAGCTTAGTTGGTAGAGCACACAACTCTTGATCTCAGTGCTATGAGCTTGAGCCCCACAATGGATGTAGAGATTACTTAAAATCTTAAAAAAGCCAATATGTTAAAATGTAGCAAAGATGTTTCCCATTTGTAGATATTCAGAAATACATATGCATGTTATTGGAAGTTTTACATATGGCAAATTATTGTTTTGTTTTAATTCTGTGAGTATTCTATGAGACAAATGTTTGGACTATCCTATCTTTAACATCACCCACTCCCACCACTTGCTTTTTACACAAGGGATTGTTAGCCCATTTATAAAAAGAAGTGACTGATTGGGAATTCATGACATTATATGATTTGATTCCTTTTCCAGGCATATTTGTCATAGAGGATTCATGGGGACAAGAAAAATGATTGAAAGACATGTTGGGGCCAGACTCTGAAAGACAGTGCAAGCTGTAAAATTTTAGTTGCTTTGAGAAAGGAAAGAACTTAATTCTTTTGTTTCATACACTATCTTGGATTTAAGGGCATGATGGGGAAAAGATTAGAGACCAGGAAATCAGTTAGGTTACTCTTAAATCAGAGTAGATCTATAAATATCTAAATTATATCATAGTAGCCATATAAATGAAAAGGAAATTTGCAAAGAAATAACAGAGGACTAGGCAATTGACTAGAATCTTGAATTCTTGTAGCATTTCATTTCCCTTCTTGAATTTCTGTCATTCTTCATTTCTGCTATTCATAAAAGTATATTTATGTATATCACCTCAGTTAGGTTAATTTCTCTAGGGAAAAGCATATATAATAATGCATGTACTAATTAATATTCATACATTAAAATGTGTTTATTTGAATACAGAGTATTTCAGTTTGTAGTTGCTCAGAGGATTTTTGTCAAGGGAATAGACAAAGGGGAAAAAGGAAAAATCAAGGGTGTAACCTGAAGAAGCAGCAGCCGATTGCAGCATCAGGGGGCCAAGTGTATCCCTGGAGATCCAAAGGTGCCCTTCGACTTCAGAGCAAATTGAAGAAGTGAGAGACATTCAAATGTAGTCAGCTAATCCTCCTTTTTTTTTTTTTTTTTTTTTTTTTTTTTTTTTTTTTTATCTCAGTCACAAATTCTATGAATGTAATCATTTGTCCTAGCAAGATTAATGCCTAGTGAGGGGATGCCTGGATGGCTCAGTTGGTTAAGTGGCCAACTTCATCTCAGGTCATGATCTCACAGTTAATGAGTTTGAGTCCCGCGTTGGGCTCTGAGTTTGGAGCCTGCTTCGGATTCAGTGTCTCCCTCTCTCTCTGCCCCTCCCCTGCTCACATTCTCTATCTGTCTCTCTCTCAAATAAACATTTAAAAATGTAAAAAAGAAGAGATTAATGCTCAGTGAAATTAGTGAAGCTTTAGGAACAGACCTTCAGTTGCATCTCAAAGAAAAAAAGAAATGAAAACTTGGTAGAAGTAGAGTGCATATCCATTGTGCATCTTCTAAGGCATTTAAAAGATTCAGTGAAAAAAAATTTTGAATAGTAATGATTTGAATTCTACTCCTACAATCTCATTTCAAGAAAATAGAACACATTAAATGGGATGATAATTTTTATCCAAGGACATGTAACAGAGTAAGAAAGTTTTAATTTTCTTCTTGCAAGCCTACATTTTTTGTTTGTGATAAAACCTCACTTTGCTTTGTTTATGTTGGTCCCTGGTGTCTGTGTGCTCTGAATTGTAGGTTGTTATTCTGAAGTGGAGCTAGAAGAGCCCAGAGGCTTTTTTTCAACTCCAAGATATCCACTGGATTATAGAGGAAAACTGGAATGTTCCTGGGTGCTCAGAATTTCACCTAGCAGTATGGCAAAAATGACGGTTGAATATCTGTCACTCCCTGGGTCTCCAATATGTCCAGATTCAGTTATGACTATTTATGAAGAAAGCCACAGTAAGAGAAGGGTGTCAGGTAATCCTTACTAGCATTTAAACTTTGTGCTGGAGCCTTTTCTATATAGGCAGCTTACAATCAAGAGAGCTTGGCTTGGGTAACAATACCACCAAAATGTTGATGATATTTGTAATAGGCATGCCTTTTTTTTCAGGCACACTTAATATTATTCATATTGTTATAAAGTCAAAACTTGACTTCACAAAACAGGTGTACTAGGGGTTGAGTGTCAGTATGTGGCTGTGTGTGCATTCAACAAGAAAAAAAATAAGAGCTCAACTTCTTCAAATATACCAGAACCATGCAAGAATTCCAGAAATGTATATGATAGAGGAAGAGTTAAGATGGTTAAAAATCAGATGGGGTAGGTGTTAGATGTCAAAATAAAGCAAAATATATTAAAGCCCTTTCTTTATTTTTAATGTTGATTTATTTATTTTGAGAGAGAGAACATGAGGGGGAGGAGGAGCAGAGTGAGAGACAGACAGAGAGAGAGAGAGAGAGAGAGAGAGAGAGAGAGAGAACGAGAACACACCTTAAGCAGGCTCCGCGCTCAGCACAGAGCCCGACATGGGGCTCGATCCCACAAACTGTAAGATCATGACCTGACCCAGAATCAAGATTTGGACTCCCAACCAACTGAGCCACCCAGATGCCCCTAATCTGGCAGAATTAAAAATATTTGCTAATAACACACCAGCTGTCATTGCATTTCATGTATAGGCAAACCTGTTTTGCTCAACAGAACAAAGTTGCTACCTTTTGTTTGTGTAGGTGTGGTAGGCTCTTTGGCTCTTAGTCAAGAGGGAGACGGGAAGGTGCTGGAAGTAATTTGGTTGATGGGGAAGACTGGGAAGAAAATAAGTGTATGCTGTTGTGAGTAGGTATGGTACTCACACATGCCTGCACTGGATGCAGGAGTATGGGGAGGCCAAGAAAACTGCTCTGAGCATGAGACTGTGTTCTTGAGATAGACTCCTAGATTAAATCATTGATGTAGAGGGCACAAACATTTATTAAGGAATCTTTATAAATACTATCTCATTTAGACTGTGGAAAAAGCTATTAACTGGCCTATCCACTTTGTACATTTCTCTCCTGTGATCAGATTGCCTTCCCCATCTGCCTTGATTAAAACAGCTCAAGGTTGGGGTGCCTGGGTGGCTCAGTAGGTTAATCCTCTGACTTTTGATTTTGGCTCAGGTCATGATGTCATGGTTTGTGAGTTTGAGCCCTGCATCAGGCTCTGCACTGTCGGGGTGGAGCCTGCTTGGGATATTCTCTCTCTCCCTCTCTGTCTTTGTCTCTTTAGCTCAAAATAAATAAATAAACTTAAAAAAAATAAGCTTAAAAAAAAAAGGCTCAAGGTCTCCTTGTAGCTAGGATGAAATCCAAAATCCCTACCATAGCCTTACCTCCTGCTCCCCAACTTACATGATGAAGTACGCCCATTCTCGCCCCAGGGCCCTTGACCAGCTACTTCTCCTAGCAATTTAGAGAACTCCTCATCCTGTGTCTCCCCTCAAGTCTTGACTAGAATGTCACCTTCTTAATGAGTCCTCCCTTAATTGCTGTCAATTGCATCACCTCCTACCCCAGTACCTCTTAGTACCCTCCTCAACTCTTCTTAAGCATAACTGTCTTCTAACTATGATTTATTTTTCATGTTTGTGGTTCGTGTTTTCTCTATTGAATGAGGGCTTTTTGAAGACTAAAACTTTTGTCTCAATTGAAGAATCTCCAGTGCCTTGAATAGTATGTGAGATAGAAGGCAGGGAATGAATGAGTGAAGGAATGGATGATATGTCACCTCCTCAAAGAGGACTTCTCATCTAGAGTAGCACCATTCACTCCCTTCCATAGTCATTTTCCATAGTTCTATTATGCCGATTATTTCATTTGTAGCCGTGATCTCTGAAATCCTCTTCTTTATTTACCTGGCTAAAATAAAAGCTCCAGGAAGACAAAGATCTTGCTATTTTGTCCCCTTCTGCATCATCCTAAATTAGTGTCATGCCTCCAGACTCAGCACAAGTGTATACTGCTAAATTGCTCTTCAGAAAGGCTAAATCAGTGTTCACTGCCTTTAGCAATACATGGGAGTATCTTTCACCATGCATATGTATAACTCATGTGATAATTTAGTAGGCATTTTTACCATTTTCTTATCATTAATGGAGTTTTATTTTCATATGTTGGTTAGTTATTTGCGTTTTTTACTTATTACCATCTATTTTTGAGGATTATTCTTTTTATTGGTTTATGAACACTATTATACATAGAGACATTTTTCCTTTTGTCGTAAGTTACAAGTACTTATTCCTAAGATTGCCATTTGTCTTTAATTTTTATTCTATGTTGATGGAAGCATTTAAAAATTTATTTGTGTATGTGGGCGCTTGGGTGTCTCAGTTGAACGTCCGACTTTGGCTCAGGTCATGATCTCATAGCTCATGACTTTGAGCCCTGCATCAGGCTCTGTGCTGACACCTTAGAGCCTGGAGACTGCTTTGGATTCTGTGTCTCCCTCTGTCTCTGACCCTCCCCTTCTCCCTCTCTCTTCCTCTCTCTCTCAAAATAAGTAAACATAAAAAATTTTTTAAGTTTATTTGTTTAAATCCATCTGTATATACCTTTGATCTTTGATTTACCACATAGCTTTTATTTATTTATTTATTTATTTATTTATTTATTTATTTATTTATAAATGTTTATTTATTTATTTTGGGAGAGAGAGAGAGTGTGTGCACAAGCGGGGGAGGGGCAGAGAATGAGGGAGATAGAGAATCCCAAGCAGTCTCCACACTCCGCACTGAGCCGGACATGGGGCTCCAATTCACGAACCGTGAGATCATGACTTGAGCAGAAATCAAGAGTGGGATGCTTAACTGACTTAGCCACCCAGGCACCCCTATTTTTTTTTTTTAAAGTATCTCCATGCCTAGTGTGGAGCCCAACGCGGTGCTTGAACTCATGACCCTGAGATCAAGACCTGAGCTAAGTGTCAGACACTTAACCAACTAATCCATCCAGGCACCCCTCAGAGCTTTTATTTTTGAACATTCATTGTTCATTCTGAGTTCAGAAAATAAAATTTAATTACAAACTTCTTTAATCCTCCTGAAATGGGTATTTTTCTCATATGATAAAGTGATACTATATCTTTTTCTTTAAGAAAAAGTTATTTTGTCTCCAACTTGTAGCAATCTCTTATACACTGGATTCTTATATAAAAAGAAACATTTTCTGGGAAAACTTACCTTTATCTTTATAACCTATTGAAAACCATGCTTGTCTTTGTTGCGGATTAACTGAGGAAACCCTATAATTTTCCTACCTAGCAATTCTTTGATATGAAATTGTCAGTTTGAAATTTGTAGAGTAGTTCTGTCTCTTTGGGTGATAGCTAGCAGGTATTACCCCTTATTCAAGCCAGATAGTATTCTTCTGTACTGTAAAATGCTATCTTTTTCCCTGTGGGAGCCAGCAACTCACTCATTCCAGAGCTGCATTGATCTCTACTTGCTACAAATAAGTATTTGATCATTCTTCAAATAGTATTTCAACATCGTTTACCCTAACCTGTTATGCCATCTAATGTTTTCTGTTCTTTGCTTCTTCTCGGATATAATCTCTTCCCTCTCTTGCTCCACAAATACTTGTGAAGAGAGTCTAGCAAGGACCAGAGACTGACTTTTCTTGGTAGTGAGGTTCAGTAGTGAGAAATATGGACAAAAAGCAAAACAAAACAAAAATCCCTGCCCTTATCAAACTTATATTCTAATGGGGAGTAGACACATAATAATAAAATAAAATATGTATTAAGTAGACAAGCTAGGGGGAAAATGAAATGGAAAGAAAGAGAAGAATCTGGGATGTTGGTACCATACAGTTGTCTGTAGTGTACAAAGAAAATGTCTGTCTGACTTTTAAACAAGCATGATAGAATGATACTGACCTATTCTTTTTTTTTTTTTTTTTTTTTTTTT